TGTCCTGACCCCACTGGTCGAGAGTGAGTGATTCATTTTCATTTTCTATATGCTCTTGTACCCCGGTGAGGACCTAGATTGCGCGGTCTCTATTCTGATGTCTTGAGTCGGATGCATGAGTTGACTGTTTTGAGTAAGTGGTTGAATCAAGTCTAGGTTGGCCAGTGAACAGACGGGAGACTCTTCCTTTACTCGATTTGCTGCACTCGAATGTCCTTTGTGGTGGTTGTCCAGGTTGTTATTGAGGTTGTGCATGTATTGATGTTTGAAAACCAGTGCGATTCACGTGTTCTGTGCCTTTATGACTTGTCCCCAATGTTGGTTGATTGAAATTTGTAAGCTTACCTAGTGTCTGACTTGGTTTGCTTTGGGACAAGCAAACGGTTAAGTGTGGGGGAGTTTGATAGACCGTCATCTACACATGTTTTTAGCCTCATACTTGCACCGTTTGAGGTGTTGATCCTCGTGTTTTAGTCCGATTTCACGCTAGGTTGTGCTTGTTTGTGATATTTCAGGTCCTAGTACGTGAATGAAGGCTTAGGAGCGAGTCTGGGGTCGATTGGGCGAAGAACGGACGAATGGCGAGCTTATTGGGGAGCTGCACGGGCAGACCATGGGGCTGCACGGCCGTGCAAAGTGCAACTCTGGCCGTGCACCTTGTGCCGAGGCCATGCACGGGCAGGCCCTGAAGCTTGCACAGCCGTGCACCTGGCCGTGCAAGATGTCTGAGTTCGAACTAAATGAAACGGCGCGTTTCAGGGTGCACGGCCAGAATGGTGTTGTGCACGGCCGTGCACCTGGCCGTGCAACTCGGGGAAACCGGTTTTAAAGCCTAATCCGAGCCAGAAGTGGGAGAATGGTGTTTTGAGAGCAAAAACAGAGCCCTAGAGAGAGAAAGTGCGAAGAACACATCCTAGAAGCTGTCTTAGAGCTGGATTTCATCGAATCGAGCTTGGAGATCGTCATAGGAGTGAAAATCATCGTCCCGGGGCAGATTATCCTCATCGTTATGAGTATGACTAATCCGATTCTTGTTTTCTCTTCTCTCTCTATGGAGTAGAACCCTTCTCTCACTTGGGTATGAAGAACCCTAGTTCCTTGTGTTAGGGATTTGATTGTAATGACTTGGGATGATATTACTGTTTGATTTTAATCGAATGATGCATGTTTATTGAATTGATTTGAGTCTGATCAGCTTTTCTCAATTTCTGCTGCAACCTGAGATAGATAGAATCTGATTAGGTTGTTAGAGCCTCTTCATTCGATAGTTGGGGATTGGCTATACGAGAGTTAGCCAGTTTACTGCTTTGTACTGGTGTTCTTGGCGCCAGTAGTGGAGTTCTGTGTTCATAGCCTCAGCTTTCTATCCCGGTGAAGACTAGTCGTCTGCCGGGTAGTTAGACTGAGAGGGCTTGGTCAGCTTAAGAGATTCCAAGCTACTGTCGGATCTTCCGCAGTCTAATCAACAGTAAATCAACCCAGGGAATTGCAATTGAACCTAACTAAGGGGCTAGGGGGACTCAATCCCGAGTGACTCTTGACTGCTTTAGAAACCTGAACAATTTACTGCTTTCTTGTTGCTTTTACTTTTCACAACAATCATGTAATGGTATTTAAACTTGCCTGTTACTGAGTAATAGAGAATCACGGAGTAAGCAGTAGATCTAGACCCCGGGTTGATAATTAAACTTGCCTGTTACTGCAGTCCCTTTCATTGGTTGCACTTGGCCATTGTTAGGTGTTGTGTTTTAGCGTGTCAGTATTATTTTCTCTTTTTTCATTGGTATTGATTATCATGTAATGGTATTGATTTGCATATATTGATATTGATTAAATCTGCAATGGTATTAGTGTTTTGTGAAATAGTGGTGTTTTTATTCGAATGGTATTGGTAGTGTTTTTTTAATGGATTGGTATTGTTTTATTTTTGCAGCGGTATTAGTGTTCGGCTAAATGAAAACAAGGAAAAGATTGAGTAAAAGAAGGAAAAGAGATCTCGCCGAAGATTGTGAAAGTGAGAGAAAGAGAGAGAAAATTATAATTAATATATTTTTTTCACTCACTAAAATGTAATTTGTTAAAAAAAATAATTAATAATTTTTTTGTCATACCCAATTTACCCTTAGTAACCACGATGATTACTATAAAATAGTAATCACCGTAACCTGTCCCGGAGTTAAGCTATGCGGACTCAAGCAATGGGTGAAAGAAGGAAGTAATCATTCATAGTTCTAAAACGTAAGAGTTCGTATGATTGGGTGAGAAAATTAAGCTATGGGATTTATCTCTTCCTCCCGTCCTATCGGCTGATCAATTGAGCAGCAAGAAGAAGCCTACTTACCCTGCATCTAGGCGTAAAGGCGAGAGCGAAGAAGAGAAATCGATGGGTGGAGGGGAGGGCAACAATGAGGGTAGAGTGGAGAAGAAACTCAAAAGAAAAGAGGGTAGCCACAAGTGAAAGTGACTGCCGGTATGTCTAAATTATCAGCAGTGGGAGAGTCAAACTTGGCAAGCGGCCAAGCCATCTATGTAGGGGGAAACTACATGGATAATTAGGGGGAGGTGCACAGTAGTTACGATATACCTGTCTACACTGTACCAGACACCTAATTCAACACTCGCCCTTTATATATTCTAGGCGAGAGCGAGGAAGAGAAATCGATGGGTGGAGGGGAGGGCAACAGTGAGGGTAGAGCAGAGAAGAAACTCAAAAGAAAAGAGGGTAGCCACAAGTGAAAGTGGCTGCCGGTATGTATAAGTTGTCGGCAGTGCGAGAGCCAAACTTGGCCACCGGCCAAGCCATCAACGTAGGGGGAAACGACATGGATAATTAGGGGGAGGTGCACAGTAGTTACGATATACCTGTCTTAACCGTACCAGACCCCTAATACAACACTCACCCTTTATATATTCTAATAATTGGGTAATGTCTATTTTTTATCTAAACCTTTTTCAGATTCTTTTATATTATCCAAACCTATCGATATACTAAGAATTAGCCAAATGGTAACTTTCAGTTAGCAATTTTGTTAATAATATTGACTTGACAACATGATACTGACTTGGAAGAGACACATGAATGTCAACTTTACAAAATTTTAGTATTTTAATTAACAAAAGATTTACAAAATTATTAACAATAACGTAAAAATGACTAATATTTTGATGCATTACGAAAGATTTGACTAATTAATAGCATCTTAATAGGTTTGGATAATATAAAAGAATCTGAAAAAGATTTGAATAAAAATAGACATTACTCTTAATTATTAATTGAAAAAAGAAAAAAAGGTAGGTGTCAGTTTAATGTTCCCAATCCCGCCCGTTTGTTTGCTTCCGGAGAATATTTTTGCAGCGGTATTAGTTCGGCTAAATGAAAACAAGGAAAAGATTGAGTAAAAGAAGGAAAAGAGATCTCACCGAAGATTGTGAAAGTGAGAGAAAGAGAGAGAAAATTGTAATCAATATATTTTTGTAACTTACTAAAATGTAATTTGTTAAAAAAGGTAATTAATAATTTTTTATCATACCCAATTTACCCTCAATAACCACGGTGATTAGTCTATAGGTGTCAATCGGGCGGGTTCGGGCTGGGTTCAATCGGGTTGCGGGTAAGTCGGGTTGCGGGTTCATCGGGTTGTGGGTTTGCTGAGTCGGGTTTAATCGGGTTTGGGTTCAATCGGGTTGCGGGTTAGTCAGGTTGCGGGTTGATCAGGTTCGGGTTCAATCGGGTTGCGGGCAAATCGGGTTCGGGTTTATCGGATTTCGGACCGGGCGGATAGGGTTGCGAGTTGTTCGGGTCAACGCATCAAGTTACTTACTCGTTACCAACTTACACATTTTATTACACTAATTAAAATATTTTCACAATTTTTAACCAATTTCTTTCTACCTCGTATATATACTTAATTAAAAAAAAACTAGTCAAAATGTTGAATCAATTTGTATGACTTGCAAACTTGTCATGTAATTAATCATAACGGGTAAAGTTCACTAGCTAATATTAATGGTAATATCAACATTTGTAATCAATACATTATTAACAAACCATACATTCAGTAAACAAAACACTACTCTAAAAGCAAAGAAGAAAAACACTTTTTCTATCTCAACATTTTTGTGCAGCAATGTAGATTAACCCAAACAAAATTTGAGCGCCAATATAGATCAATACAAACGAAAATTGAAGGGCCTTTTGGAGCGGGAAGGAAGAAATTGGGCGGCAATATATATCAAGAAAAGATAAAAGTGGGTTAGGCATACTATAAGTCTATAACAAAATTGATTGATTTATTATAAGATGACGAGGGGATTTCAAATATATTACTGTCAATTAGTCAATGTCTTATAAGACTATACCAATATTTACTATTAGATAATTTCGTAGTTACTAAATGTTAAACTCTTAATTCATAATCGATAAAGATTGTGATAATCGAATTAGTAAATAAGTATATGGTAAATAATATAAAATAATTTGCATTTGAGATAATTGAGTGACTTTATTGAGATAAAATAACTCATAATAAAATTTACCATAAATAATATCTTAATCACTACATGTTAAACTATTAAACCATCATATTCTAACATGGTAACTAAAATAATATGCATTTGGCAAAACAATTACATGTACTCAAATTAGTCATACACTAAAATTATATCTGAGCCATCCCAACTCACGAGCTAAAGCTAGCTCTTGGCATAAAACATCATAGCTCAAGTCAAGATCGAGCTTAGATAGTGCCAACTCGAGCTCGGCTCAAGATCAGCTAGACAATAGCTCGTAATCAAGCTCAACGAGCCCAACTAAACAAGCTCAACGAGCATCCGACTATTACTTTTGAGTTCAACAAACACCAAACTCGTGGGCTTTGGACAAACCAACAATTTTAAGCCCATTATTTGTAACTAGGAATAAATGTATTGGATTCACCCATACTCATTGAGCATCAACCTCCGACCAACCTTTTATAAGTAGATTGAGTTAAGAAATGGTTTCAAACAAACGATGTGGTTGATGAAGGGACTGTACGGGACATTTCGTCTCTTCCCTCTACGATCTGCTTGAATTTGGCCGATGGAGAGCTTAACCCAGTAGGGGAAGAGAGTTTCAGTATCTGTAGCCTGCTGGGGACGGCTTTCGATATGCGTAGTTTGCCTTCTCCTGTGCTGGAAGAGGTGCCAGCCCCGTTGAGAAGTGTTTTTCTGGAAGTTGATATGTCGAGACCAGCAACAATTTGACTGCTGGAGTTATTGTCTGCCAGATTTGTTGATGGTTGTTGCTCGAATCCACACAAGTCTTCTCCATCATCGTGGGCCACCATTTCAGGTGGAGAAGCTTCGATCAGGAGGTGATTCTAGTTAGACTATGTGATGGAATTCTGCTTGCCCTTTGGTGATGGCCAAGAATACTAAATGAAGCTGAAATGGGTCATCTTCTCTGCCATTTTCGCAGGGAGTTCAGACTTGGATGATGGCTCAGGAACCAGCATCGGCTATCCAAAGACCTATTGTTCCGAATAGCAACCGCAACACGTGTTAGGTTCAGGGATCAAAAGCAAGCTCAAGAGTGAACATAAATAATAGCTAAATGGTTTCCAGTAGAACTGAATTCAGGTTGAAGCTAGCACAACCGAATATCCATGTACAAGTAGAAGTACAAGTAGTCAATTCTGTTCCGAACAAGCGCAAAGAAATCCGTAATGAAGACAGGTGGCCAAACTTATGGACAATATTCTGCATAAAGCCTAAAATTCTGGACAGCTACCAGACCAGAAATCAAGATATGCTTCTCTAGAGAGAAAATGTTTGAACGGGACAAACACAAAATTAGAGCAGCAGGCGCTTCCTCGAGCTAAACATAGAAGGTGGGTTGAGAAGGTCTGGCTAATCCCAGGGGTGGCAGTCGGTCGGTTTCGGTTAAACCGAGCCACCCCATATAGCTGCCGACCACCGATCGTGAGATTGGTCACGGTTAGCCGGCCAACCGACCGGTCAGTTTCGGTTTTAGGCTCGGTTAGCCGGCCAACCAGAAAACTACCTTTTCTACAACAACAACAAAAAAAACAACAAAAAAAAACAAAAATTTTGCACCACTCACTCTAACCCCTCTCACTTCTCGATTCTTCTTCTTCCTTTCCAGAGCAGCGACCGCCGGTTGCTACCGCTCCCACCTTCTCCTTCTTCTCCGTCCCAATCGACCGAAACTCCGTCCTCCAAATCCACATCGCCATCCGGCTCTGCCTCGTAGCCGCCGTAGATGGACATCGCGATGGGCCATTCCTCGGAAGCAACAGCGGTCATCAGTCCCTCGCTGCCCGCCGCCGATGCGATCAAATTGAAATATCCAGCGAGCAAGAGGAGGAGGAGAAATAGGGTACGGGTGTTCTGCTAGCTGCCATTGTTTCAAAGGAATGGGTTGCTTGCTTGCTAGCGAGCGAGAGAGAGAGAGAGAGGAAGGAAGAAGGGAAAGTGAGAAGAAGATGGTGGGAGGAGGGTAAATTGAATTCGGAGTGGGAGAAAGCTGTTGTCGCTCGGTGTGGAGGGGTAGCACGATTGGAGGGAGGCGGCGACGAAGATTGGAGGCGGGCGGCGAGGCGGAGTTGCGGGGAGACGATCTCATGTGAGGGAGCAAGAGGATTGGAGGGAGGCGGCTGGGGATTTGGAAGATGGGACGAAGGGCTGCTAGGGTTGGGGATTTGGGGGATGGGGTGTTTTACTTATGCAAAAAACGGCGTCGTTTAGGCTTGCCGATTAGCGTCGGTTAGCCGGTTTAACCGGCATCAGTTTTTTGGCTAACTGCCTAACCACGGAGCGACTCCGACAACCGACCGTGCCCAGTTTTTTCGGTTTCCGGTTAGCCGCTAACCGGCGGCTAACGGTTAGACCGGCCGGTTAGTCGCTAACCGGACCGAAATGACAGCCCTAGCTAATCCTAGGTCCATGATGACTCGATATTTGCACATGTTTTCTCCTTTGTTTCTTGATCGTTTGAGCTTTAATTATCGCGTCTTTGGCCTATTTTGCGCTAGGTTGTGTTCCTTTGTCACATTTCAGGTCCTAGCACATAAAGTGAAGCATAGGCGCAAGTTTCAAGTCAATCAGAGATCAATTGGCGATTCGGGAGAAGAAACTCGGGCATGACCTGAAGAAGAATGGATTTCTACCTCAATTTATGGACAAAGAATCATTCAAGTTTGTCATGAAAAGAAAAAGGACGAGACTACGAGCGTCTGGGATCAAACGGCGACTGATTCGGAGTCCGGACGAGGGAGAAACGAAGCATTGAATATAGGGGAACAGGTTCGGCAGTAAAAACACGGGCGCGCCTAAATCAAAACACGGCCGTGCCCATATTTAGGCACGACCGTGTTTTGGCCAACGCGCCCGGGCGTGTTTTTAACACGGGGCAAAACACGGGCGGGTAAAACCAAAGCACGGTCCGTGCCCGCGACCGTGTTTTGCCCAGAATCGGGTTTTTTAACCCAAATTCGAGCCAAAGGAGAGGGAGAGCTGGGTTTTGGATCCCAAACACCCAAGGGACGAACCAAAGAGAGAGGGGGCGATTTGAGGGCATTCTTGGAGTGGAATTGGAGGATTTCTTCGCCTTGGAAGCTCGAGGAATAAGCCCGGACTTGAAGACTGATCATCTGAAGATTCTTACTGCAGTCTCTCTCTTCTCTATGGAGTAACTTCCCTTCACTTAGGTTTTGAGGAACCCTAGCTATGTTTGTTTGATTGGATGATTGTATGAGTACTCTGACTTGATAATCTTGAGTTCATATTCAATCTATGCATGTTTTCATGATTCAATTCTGCTTTAGTCGAGATTATTGATTCTGCTTTGATCCTATGAGAGCGAATACCTGATTAGGTCAATAGAGCACCATAGATTGATAGTATTGGATCGACTGCTTTAGTCGAGGGTTGATTCACTGCTTTGCATCGATTGAGAACCTCTTTCGATAGAGGGAGTCTAGTTCAGAACACCTTGATCGGTTGTTCTAGAGAAGGATACGTCCCTCTAGGCAATTGACTCAAGAGGGCCTTGTTCCTTTAGTCGAGACTCAAGGTCTAGTTAAGGATTCTCCGCATTGTGAATGAAAGTGAAACAGGTTAGAGATCATCAATCATTAATCTGACTAGTGGCTAGGGGGAATCATACCTAAGTGAGTTCCCAACCTGTAATTAGATTAACTTTAACTATAGTTTGCTAGAGTAGTTTTAGTTCTTCTATCTTAATCTGGTTTGCTAGATAATGAACTAAAGCTGAGTAATAGTAACTCTAGAGACCCGTGGATTCGATATTTATTACTTGAGCCACTATACTGCAGTCCCTTTCATTGGTTACACTTGGCCATTGTTAGGAGTTGTGTCATAGCGAGTCAAGTTTTTGGCGCCGTTGCCGGGGACTTTCTAGAGTATTAGGAAAGGCAGAAGTTTTTTACTTTAGCGTTTTTCTTTTCTTTTCCACCCTTGCTTTTCACTTGGGTGTTTTTGTTTCTGTTGGTGCAGATTTGAATCATGGATCCTCATGGCTTCTCCAATCATTGGGGGTATCCACCACCATCCGAGTGGTATTACCCCGAGACTCCCTGGAGAAATCAAGGAGGAGAAGACTATGGATTCGGATTCCAGTACCAACCCCCTTACTACGGAGAACAACCAGATCCCTGGGCATATCAAGAACAACCTCATTATCAAGAAGAATTCCTCCCATAACCAGAAGGGCCATCAGAGCTGGAGTTACCCATGGCGGCCTTCACGGGCCATTCTGCAGAGCCATGCTACACTCCACAGCCAGATCCAAACTATGAATTGAGGCTTCTCATGGAGCAGTTTGCTCGAGACAGTGAGAGATCATGTGTCAGGATGGATCTTTGTACCCAGGCCTTTCGTGAAACGGAGGAGATCCTCCTGAGCCTTAAGAAGAGCGTCGATGATCTTGAGCGATCTTGTGCACAACCTGCTCCAGATCACCCTTCTGCTACCATACTAGAAGAGGAGGAGGAAGAAGAAGGCTACAAGGACATTGTGGAGCACACTGAAGTTGTCACGGAGAGCTCCCGTGATGATCATGATCAGGAATGTCCTGTTGTAGCCGACCACACCTTCCCACATCCTAAACTGAGCGTTGAAGAGGCGGGCATGAGTGAGGAGATGCAAGAAGATCTCATGAAAGAAATTGCTTGGCAATTTGCTCTCCAATCCGTGCTAGAAGAAGAAGAGCAAGAAAGGGTGCAGAAAGAAGTTGTGGAGGATGACGAAAGTGAAGCAGGAGGAGTTCTTGATCATTTCCCAGGGGTGATACCACATGAAGAAAGGGAGGTTGAAGAAGCAATTGGCGTCCAGGCTGAGGACGGAGTTAAGGTGGAAGAGGCTTGCACCGGCCATGAGTTGCAGGTAATATCCCCACCAAACTTCGAGGAACTGTTTAGCAAGGACCCATTTGCAGTGTCTCTTTGCCAGACCAAGGCCACATCGACATCGGTTCCCCTTGGTGGACGCGATGGTGGCCAATCGATGCTGTCATATCTGGTTTGGGGCAATGAGACGAGAGAAGAGAAGAAGAGGTCTCGAGGGTGGAGACTTCATCTGCATCAAGTGCACGAGCTTCCATCACCTGTCATACCACATGCTCGTGACTTGAGACTCCACCTCATTGACGAGAACCTCAACTTCAAGGAGGTTTTGGGGTGGACCGAAACTTAGGAGCCATCGTCCGGCTCACGACGTGAAAGAAGCGCTTGTTGGGAGGCAACCCAACCATTCGGTTTGCATTTCTTTCCCTATTACTCTTCGGTTGAGTCAGTTTTGTTCTTTGATTTTAGAGTCAATAACTCAACCTTTGTGAGATTTTGTGTGGTGTTTGTGTTCTGATTACTCTCTCCTCCTGGAATACATCGCCTGCCCCGTCCACCATCATTCACCCTTGATCTGGTAACTTCGTTCTACCCTCCTTATCTTTCCTCCATTGAGGACAATGTCGTGCTTAAGTGTGGGGGGATGTTCGATTATGTATGCGTGTCGAATGTTTGGCTGTTTGTGTGCTTGGAGCCTAGTCCACTGTCCAAATTTCGATTTGAGGGCTCCAAGTACGTGTTTCCTTGCAAATTGCCTGCTCAGTATGCTTTGAATTGACAGTCTCTATAGTAATGTGCAACCTAGGGAGGTAGTGTAGCACTATGGAGGATGTTGAAGTATAAGATTTTTCCTATCTAGCTCTTTGCTGTGCCAGTTGATTTTGTGAATTAGTGGAGCTAGGACCGTTGAATTCATGTGGTAATGGTGACTCTATGTGGATTGTGTTTTGGACTCGTGTATCGAACAGGGTGCTCATATAGAAAATGGGAAGCAGTTGGTCCTCCATGTCGAAATCATTGAAATCTTAAACATGGGGTAAGCCCAACGTGTGTGGCACCGTTCATTGCACAAAATCGGGTTTTGGAAGAGATTTTAGTGATCCTTAGTGGGGTACTCCTACAAGGTGAAGCTAAGCTGTCTCTAGTACAAGTAAAATTTTCACCCGTTGAA